CTGGCAGTGCAGGTTGGGCTGGGCCTCGATAGGTCGTATCTATTCGAGATAGAGACGGCTGATGGTAGAAAGCAACAAATCACTGGGGTTTGTCACAAGGCAGTCATAGAAGTCCAAGGGGTACGAGTGACCTTGCCTGTCTTTGCAGTCAAAAACTGCAGCTCCGACCTGCTCTTGGGGCGGACACGACTGAGCCACGTGCATGCGGTGACGATTGAGCGACCTGACGGGAGCCAGACTTTGTCCATTAAAAAGCCTGACGGGACACGCGTAATGATTGAGACAGTGGAACCTCGGGACCCGAGGAACAGAGCAGCTCTCGCTGTGGGAGCGAGACCCAGTGATCAGGTTTGGTCGTTACCTATCTCCAGCCGTGCGGTGCGATTTCAAGAAAAGGAGTATGGACAACTGCTTACAGAGGAAGAAGGCCGAGTTGTCGAGATAGAAGATTTAGGGAGTCGGTTAATAATAGACGGCAAATCGTACCCGAAGGGAGAACATGAGGAATTAGGCGGTGTAGTATCCGTGTCTTTTTTAAGGGCACGGCCCCCTACGGGGGGCCGCCTAAGCGACACAAGCGGGTAGCTCAGAAGGTTAAGCCAGCGGCAGTGGGCCGCGAGCGATCTCCTCTAGAAGGGATATCGGAAGAAGAGATCGCGAGAGAGATCAAAKAAAGAAAGAGAAAGGAGCCACAACGCCTGACGCAAGATAGGATAGCAGGGATGGACATCGGAGATGGAAATATGACCCCGCAAGAACGAGAACAAGTGATAGAGATTCTGAAAACATGTGATAAGGCARTAGCTTTCAGCGACGCGGAGCGCGGTAGGGTTGACCCTCGATACGCGAAGCCAGCAAGGATTTACACCGTACCACGTGTTCCCTGGAATGACGAGGGATGGAAGTATGCCCAGAAGGAGAAAGAGGAAGTTATTGCTTTCCTGAAAGAAAAGATGGTTTCCCATGTCGCGGAACCGTCTGATAGCGCGTATGCTAATCGATGGTTCTTCTTACGGAAGTCGAATGGCAAGATCCGATGGATACAGGACCTTCAGAAGGTCAACGCGGTGACAATACGAGATGTGGGCTCGGTGCCACACGCTGATTTGTTAGCAGAAGGCGCYGCAGGTAGGTCGATCTATTCGGTCTGCGATCTGTTCTCAGGATATGATGAGGTACCGCTTGACCCTAGAGACAGACACCTCACGGCCATGCACACGCCATTGGGACTAATACACCTCACGCGAAGTTTTTCTGGATGACTTCCCTATAAAAGGGCCAGTAGACAGGGATGAGACGGAGGTCGTACCTGGAGTCAGGAGATTCGTCGAGCAGCATCTAACAGATATTTCCACGGTGCTCGAGCAGCTGGACGATGCCAATTTAACAGTTAGCGGAACAAAGAGTCGATGGGCCGTTTCAACTATAAAGATCTTGGGGTTTATATGTGACTCGAGAGGGCGCCGAGCAGACCCGGCAAAGCTAGACAAACTTCTGAACTGGTCGTCGCCGCTACATAGCCCAACCGAGGTCCGGCAGTTTCTAGGAGTAGTCGGATACTGGCGAATATTCATATGGGGATATGCGGAGAAGGTTGAGCCCTTGCGGATATGGGATTTTTTGCAGGAACTCGCGATGCAAGAACTTAAAGACGAATTTAAGGAGGGAGGACGCATATTGGGCGTGCCATTCTTTGACGACGAGACCGAGAGACCCTTCATAGTATCCACGGATGCTGGACCATGTTCAGTGGGAGGTTTACTGTCTTAGAAGGACGCAGGAGGGAAGGAAAGACCGTTAAGATTCGAGAGTAGGACACTTAATACGGCTGAGCGTAACTACAGTCAATTCAAGAAGGAGGTGCTAGCTGTTCTACATTGTCTGGATACGTTCAGGCACTATATCTATGGACGACGGTTCATCTTAAGAGTAGATCCTACCGCAGTTGCCTCAGTCCTTCAGAAGGACTTTAATCTGACAGACCCGACCATCGCCCGATGGCTGATACGGATTCGGCTATACGATTACACAGTGGAAAGGATATCTGGCACTAAAAATGCCGTGGCAGATGGACTTTCGCGGATCCCTCTTGAGGCTGAGCGCCCGATAGTAGCTGGGGCCCTGACGTTGGTGGAACCCAGACGCGCCGAGAGATTTCTGGTTAACCTATACAAGGGCAAGTACCGAGCGATCGGGCTACACCTGACAGGAGAGGAGAGTCTAGATTCAGATATTCGGAAGCA